AAGAATTTTCCCATCACTATAGGATTATTATTTAATCATTTATACTCCTGTACCTTCTAGAGACCTCAACTGAGAGGCTATCAGGACTCCATTAAGATGACGTGCACAGACACATAGTAAGATACAGTCCTGCCCCGAGAAGCTTACGACTGAAGACAAAATGCAAGAGAATGAAAGCACTTTTCTCATTTCACAGACAGGGGAACTGAGGCAGAGAGAAATTAAGTGACCTGCCCATGATAATACGGATTCTGCAGAAGAAGCAGAATTGAACCTAGGTCACCTGAGTCACAGTCCAGTGTCTTAACCACAAGACTATCCTTCCTCTCAGCACATTGTTTTTCTTCAATGCTCCGTGCCTACCTGCTATCTGACTGCATGATTGACTTTATCCTGCCCAGTTGCCACTGCTTTGGAAGCAGAGATCCAAGAGCAGTTAGAGTGCCCCAGCGCTCAGCTAACATTTTCATGATGGTGTGTCTGGACCCCTGTTGAGTTCCATGACTGTGTTCAGTGGCAGACCATGCAGCAATAAGAAACTGACAAAGAATGATTTCCCTAATCCCCCTCATCAGATACGTAATAAATCAAATACAGACAGTGAGGGAAATATTGGAATAAGGTTTGAGTGGAGGAAAAACTCTCAAAATATATGAATGGAAAACAAGTGGAAGATACCTTTGCAGTTTCCTGACTCTAATCTCATTGGATGATCTGCCTCTCCCAATACTGAAGAATCCCTATCTTAGTTTTCTGCCTCCCTCGAGTTTAGGCATTTGAAACCAAAACTCTCCCCACTTCCAAAGTGAATGCAGAAGTACTCCTACAGCTTTGTCTTAAATCCCTGGAAACATGAGAGGAAGTTTTAATACTCTTTCATCCTGTCTACATGTCTGGTTATATGCTCCGGTGATTTCCACAGCACCCCATTTATTATTTATCAGTACTCTGCAGCTATTTATTTTTAGGAAGTTCTTAATGCCAGTCAGCCACTTAGGAACAAACACTTTGCCATACTAGATCGAAAAAATGAACCCTCAGGTTTGGTATCCTGTCTCCAGCAGGAAAAATACATCACGCCCTTAGGTTACCTGCACATTGGTGTAATCTTAAACATCCGGGAGGAGGAGATAAGGAACAACTCCCTGCTGACCTGTGCAGCGATCAGTTAATCAGTCTTTTCCCCTTTTCTATTTTCCAGTCACATTTTGCCATCTTATTGTGAAACTTACCTGAAATAGTTAAAGAAAATAGTTCTGAATTCAGAGCTACAGACTTGCGGTCTTCATCCCTTAGAGAGGGAATGTAGCACAGTTTATTCTTTTACGTAGGCAAGAGCAGTCAGTAAGATTCTAGGGGCTTCATTTCATGATATTCAGTTACAACAAAACAGTTCACCCCTTCCTACCTCCTGCCAGTATTTTACTCTCATGTTGTAAACCTAATTCAGATGCAAGAACAACGCCTACCAATACAAACGGAAATTGTATGTGGATTTAGGGTAACACACAGCTTAGTTTTTAATAATTTGGAAGTTCTCAGTACAATTTATTCCTGTAATTTAGGAATCAGACTGCTTCACCATAAATCCAAATAATCTAGAGGCTTGAAAATAGACCTCTCCAAAGTTCATATTCTCACATGTTCAGATTCAGTAGTAGGTTTGGCTCTTCTACCTCTTTGTGCACAATCGTAAATTAGCAGCAACATCCATACGTGATGTATTTTAAAGAGAATGAGCAAGAACAATCTGGGGATGATCATGTATCCAACAATTTGGCAGCTACTCTCAGCTATTGCTACTGTTCTGTTGTGTAAGGCAAATTGTGTGAAATACAAATCCCCCCAGGGTTACATGAGGCCAAAGGCAGAGGAACTAGAAAGCAGGGAAATGAAATGTTGCACATTTCGATTTGAAGATGAGAGATTTGTTTTTTTTAATTATTAAAAGAGCAGTCACATAGTCAATAAGTAATTTATATTCTCAAGAGGTCTGTTTTTGTAAATAATGAAGCACTGCAAAAATATTCAACTATGTAACTTATGTTGGGGCACAAATGTTTGTTAATTTATGATATTACACATTCACCATGATGAAATCTTATTTCACACAACCAGAACCCTCTGAGAGAAACACATGGGTCAGACACAGATTGTAATCTTTGTTTATATTCCAGTAGCACGCAGAGGCTCTAATCATGAGCAAGGCCCCATTGCACTGTTTGGATTTGAGCCAGCTTCTGTTGACTTTAATGGTTCAGGATCAGGCCCTTTATGTACAATAGTTTTCACTAAGGCCTCCCTCTTGAAGAGGAATAGACTGACTCAAAAAAAAGTTCTTAATAGATGAACTTCTCCTGCAAGTCTGTCCCATTTGACTCAAAGAAACTCTGTTTTTGTATACACACTGGATTCCAAGTTGATGGTGCAATTTCACATCATTAATTTCATAATTCAAAGTTAATTTTACAATATTTAAGCAAGAGGGTTACTAGCTGCCAAACATCTGTCATTATGAAAACTCCTCCATTAAGCTGTTAATGCCTAAACCTAAGAACCAAAAGCAGCAGTTCTCAGGAAAATAGATCATGTCCTGTTTTTGAAAGTTATTTCAAAGTGTTTGAATACATGCACTCTTTATTTATTCGGACAGCATTACATTATGCTGATCACGATGACAACTATGCACCTCATGGATTTTATGAATTACACCCGCTGATACACAAATTAGAAAATTCAACAGTATCTTTTTGAAAATAACTTCTACCATGTCTAAAAGTTGAGCCTGATTTAAAATATAAATATATGCATTATATTCTCTTTTCTTCCTCAGTTAAGGGTCCTCAAATACATAGGGCTATACGGCACCACAGTGGGGCCATAGTCTGAAACAGAAGGTCCAATCTTCCAAAGCACAGAGTGCCCTCAACTCCCATAAGCTTCAGTGGGTCTGGAGGGCACTCAACACATCAGATTAGGCCCTCCAAGAACAGTTCTCACAATAATGAAAAATCATTGGTCTAAATCCATAAATCAGGTCAATAGTTTCATTATTGAAGAAAGAACATAAAGGATCAAAGACAGACATCGATACAACGATCAACATTTTTGAAATATGTATTTTATTAAGGCGGTGATGAATTTGCCTACTCGACAGCTGAGATCCACAAGAGAAAGACCATGCTAGGGAAGCCTTCAAAAGCAGGATTTGCAAGAATGTTCTTGAATAGCATGAACACATAGGCAGGTTTCTAGGTGAACCATCATATACATACGTGCAAAAGTTTCCTGCTTTAGGTATCTACTGTTTAGGGTATTTTGTCTGATTTGGCAAAACAATGTTTTATTGTAACTGTTTTCCTAATGTGTCAAGTTTGAGATTTTTGTTGTGTTCTTTTTTGCTTCCCAACAGGCAATTGAGAGTTATATTTCTCTGTAACTGAAAATAAGGTGGTGGTATTCATACTTAAAGCTCAGGGTATACAAGAACTACTTCAGTCATGCATGAAGAAAAGGAGGACTTGTGGCACCTTAGAGACTAACCAATTTATTTGAGCATAAGCTTTCGTGAGCTACAAGTCATGCATTAATAACTTTAGAAAATATTCCCAATGGCAAATACACTATGCACTCAAAATGAAACACCTCCAGCTTCTGGGAAAGACAGACGAGATCAGAAAGAACCTTGCCTTTGAGTAAAACTTCCACCTCCATATTTCTTAAAAATAGTTTCAGTGACAGAACCTAAATCCAATTCCATTTAATCTAATGAGATGAAGATCTAGTACCCCATTGTCCAAGGACCACAATAGTTTGCATTATGCAGCATATAAGATCACAACACATTTTTAACCAGAGAAATATGAACACAGAACAACAGTCTAAAAATACGAGAAGGGTATAATTACCAAGGATAAGGCAGAGCTCATCTTTTTTACAAGACACCAATTAGCTCCAAAAAATGGAGAAAGGGGATATGAACCCTGTCCCCACTTGCTGCCCTTGGGAGCTCACAATCTGAGAAGCCCAGACTCTCAGAAGCTGGGGAGAGGCAGCGTGCCAGTGATCCTACCAGGGTGGAGTTCCCGGGACGCTGCTTGGAATTCCATTTTCCGTAGTAGCCTCGGGCTAGCAGCTGCTGGATACATTTAAGCCCCACCCCACCCCTGCCTGGAAAAGGCAAAGTGTTGACACCTTCCCCGTGCCCCTGAGCGCCCGCCAATCTAGCCCTCCCCAGGTCTCCCAGAGGAGCCATTGCTGTCACCGTGGCAGCTGCCCTCAGCAGCAAGACACCGAATCTGGTCAGTTTCGGTCCGGGGCCGCCGGAGACAGCGCTGAGCTGCCGCCGAGGCCCGAGAGCGGCGCCTGCCTGCCGGCGCGGGGCTCGGCTCAGACTAGCTAGGCAGCGCTAGCGGGGCGGGCTCCCCAGCCCGGCGGGGGGCAGGGGAACAGGGGAGCGGACTGGCTTGGGGGGGGCAGCACAGCGCCTGGAGAACGGGGGCGGGAGGGACAGGCGCGGGGCTGGGGGCCTTCTCCGACCCTGCCAGGTCCCCGCCCTCAGAGCCGAGAGAAGCGGACCGACACCCCCGCGGCCCCGGCCCCACCTCTCGATGACCGAGGCCAGGAGTTGCGGCAGCTCCCTCATCTCGAAGGCCGAGTAGGAGGCGGAGAGCAGCGGCCGCACCGCCACCTCCCAGCCCGGCTCCCCCGGGGTCTCCGCTCCGCCACCCGACGCCGCCATCTTGTTGCCGCCTCCTCAGTTGTGGGGGGAAAGAGGGGGGGAAGAGCGAGAGAGAGACAGGAAACACTTCTGCAGGGACAGGAAGTGACCTCATCCACCTTCCTTCGCCTGCGCGCGACACACAGTACTCCGGCCTAGCCGTATGACGTAGACAGAGGATGGGGCGGGGCGCGGCCTGAGCTTTGCTGAGGCGCGTGCGCAGATGAGTCCGCACCACCTCGGCACATGCGCAGGAGATTATTGTCGTCCCCCGCCAGCTGCGCATGGGCAGCAGGTGCACGAGTTGCCAATCCCCGGCTCGGCCGAGCCAGTGCCGGGCCGTAGCAGGCAGCAGCCCGGGCCGGGGGTCGAGGTGGCCGGGCAGGAGAAGCCAGGGGTGTGGGGCTCTCACTCCTCCCCCGACCCTGAGCCAGGAGCCCCCCGGGGGCTGGCGGTCAGCTCACGGCTGCTGGGTCAGGCCCCGGCCCGCCTGGAAGTGCCTCAGCCCCAGCTGCTGTGACTCCGGCCCTGCCCGCTGTCGCGCCGCCCCGTCAGTCGGAGGGCGAAGCGCGGCTCTGTCTGGGGTTACGGGAAGCGTAACCGGCGGGGAGGGTTTAAGAGCCTGACCCTTGCGGTATCACACAGTGCGGCTAACAAAAGTAGGTCGGGTAAGTTCCTCCCTCTGAGCCTTTGTCAAGCAGGTATAAAGAAACCTGCTTTCTGAGCAATTAGAAAGAAACCGAACAAACGGGGAGTAAAAGGTAAATACACACGAGCTCCTTGTCTTTGCCTTTAAGGCCCCTCACCACATAGCCCTGCTCTCTGGGGTAGGGATTGTCTTCATTAACGCTTCTCTGAACAGGGCCTCATACAACGGGGCTTGGTTGGTATTCCTAGGCATTATAGTAATACAAACAAGTGATCTGAACCATAACGTCAAACATCCTTTCGTTTGTATTCAGAGGATATGTGATGAGCTGTGTCCTCACACAACTCCTAGTTTTCTTTTGTCTCCTAGAGCGTAAACTTCTTTGTCGCAGGCATTATGGTTTCTTTGGCATTCTTTTCAGCACTAAGCACGTTTATTTTTATGACAGGTTTCACAGTAGCAGCTGTGTTAGTCTGTATTGGCAAAAAGAAAAGGAGTACTTGTGGCACCTTAGAGACTAACACATTTATTTGAGCATAAGCTTTCATGGTACAGCTCACAAAAGCTTATGCTCAAATAAATTTGTTAGTCTCTAAGGTGCCACAAAGACTCCATTTATTTTTATATTGTTTTCATGGGGCAAGAGTACTCCTACTGGTTCAAGCAGGTACCACTGAGTCAGGATTGCTGGGTTCTACTCTCAGACAGCTAGTGACATGCAAGGTGCCTCAGGCTATTCACAGTCTCTGAACCTCAATTCTCCGTTCTTTAAAATTGGTAAGGCTAATTAGCTTTCTTGTGGGTGTATTGTGACCTCTAATTTATTAATCCTTAAAGTAATGAGATTCTCAGATGAGAAAGTGAGAGATCTGGAATATTAATTAGTTGCAAGTTTTTAAAAGAAGTTAGACTATCAAACTCATTTGTATTTTTTTTATTTTCATTTTTGCTCTTTATGCAATGCTCAAAAGAGAGGTACGTCCCACTACTTATGTCCAGACTTATCTGGTAGACACTGACATTATGTGCAGTGGGGTAGAAGCCATCACCACTACCTCTTGTTTACACTTAAGTGATTTAACAAGTGTCTTTGCATTTTTTGAGTGGAGAAAAGGAGAAGTACTTAACTTACAAGTAAACTACAGATACTAATTGAAAAGATCCAACAGAAAATTCAGACATGCATATAGATACTGATCAAATAACTTTTATTTAGATGACCTGCTCTCCACTACGCAGAAATGACCTCATCCTTTCTGCCCCAACTCTTCCACACAAAACAACTGTGGACCAGTTTCACAGTTAAAAACAAGATCTAGTTTGTTACAGCATCTGGTTATCTGATCACATCTCAGCTAAACATAAATCAATAAGGCTTCCAACAAAGCCCTTTGCTTCATGTGCCAAGTTGCAACCATTTCAGTACATAGGAGGTTCAGAACCAATGTTAGCACTTAATGTCCCAATGAGTTACAGATCATTGTAAAAACTTAATCCAATTTAAAATTAGATACTGCATATTAATACACACCAAGAATGAACATCCTTGATACATGGAGGGAAAACAAATTGCAGGCTTCTTTACTCCTAAATCACAATATTTTTAAACTTAGTTTCAAGTTATCAACCTAGCTGTTTGGCAAAATAGCATAGAAGGTGGGATGTTTTTAGATGCAACTTCACAGCAACTGGCATCTCTCTGCTTTGCTAAACCCTTCAAAATATTTACTTTTTTTTAACCAGAGAAAAACTTTCCCAGAAATAGCCAATCAATGAGGTCTGTGTTGTGCAACCATTTGAAAGATTAAAAAGCAGAAAAGGAACATACAGTGCAGTCACAATAAATAAAGAATATGAAGACTTTAGTAAGCATCTTTCCCTGAACTCCTTCCCCATTGTTATAATTTCCTTAAAAGGTTTGATCAATCAGTTTGCATGCATCATTTTCTTTATAGTCTCTTGGCTATCTTATGAACATCCCCTCTTCCCATGCCCTATGTACAGTAGCTCGCATTTACAAAATCTAGCTTTCCAATCAGAGCGGTGGTGAATCTAGAGTTCTCCTCCAAGATTTTAGTAATGGTTGAGGTAGAGAAGAGGTAAGCCATCAACTGGTCTCAAAGTGCACCCTCAGAAGTGGGGAAGAAATACATTCTTAGTATTTTGATATCAATCTTAGCTAAAGGAGGGGAAGGTTTTTCATGGAAAGTGATGTTATCATCTTAGCGCGTTGAAGGAAAAAAAAAGCTGTAGAAGGTTTTTTCACACTGATTCAGTGAAGTCCTGGACAGATGAATGTTCCTTTGTAGTCTCATTAATTCCTTGCCAGCGGGTGGAATTCTTCCCAGGGGAGGCATATTTTTCTTCCACCGGCAGCTCCTCCCTTCAATGTCTCCAGGAGAAATGTGATAAAAAGACTGGCCTCCGTCACAACAGTACAATTTATAACATATAATTAAACCCAGTTGTGTGCACTCCAGCAGATGATCAGCTACTCAGAATCCCAGCCAGCCTGTTCTCCAGCCTCACCGGTGCCCTCAGTGTTCCCTTCACCCACGCGCTTAACGCCATGCACGGTTCAGCAGCTTCACCTGAGCAAGTCTCTTTGTAATCATAGTGGCAAAAACCAGTCCAAAAAGGACACTACTTATCAGCACATAGTCATAGTCATCTTTCAGAACATCAAACTGCTTGGATGGGTAGACTCTGGTTTGGAAGATGTCCAGGCCGTACGCAACAACCTAAAGAAGTGAGACCACCAGTTGTTACAGCAGCTTCAAGCAGAAATCCAGATACATTAATAATAGATAAGGCTACGATTTTGTCATGGAATCTGACTTCCAGAGACCTCCATGACTTCAGCCCCGGTGGCTGGGAGCTGCAGGGTCCTGCTGCCTCCCACAGCAGCAGGGAGCTGTGAGGTACCCCCGCCGCCTGAGGAGGTGGACCCCCACAGCTCCCCAGCTGCTGCAAAGGGGCAGCAGGGGTCCTCCGCAGCTCCACAGCCGCCTGGAGGGGCAGGCGGACTCTAGAGCTCTGAGCCCCTACGGGTGGTGGGGGCCCCCAGAGCTCCCAGCCACCCTGCAAGCTGCTCAGCCATTTCCTATTTTATCATGGATATTTTTAGTAAAAGTCAGGGACAGGTCACAGGCTTCCGTGAATTTATCTTTATTGCCCGTGACCTGTCCCTGACTTTTAATAAAAATATCCATGACAAAATCTTAGCCTTAATAATAGGCCCATCCCTATGGTTCTGATCAAGCAAAGCTCAGTTCAGGAAATCATTAAGCAATGACTTATAACAAGGCTTGAAGTTGCATACCTTCCCTGAAAGGGTGTGTGATGGCATACTATTGTATCCCGCATCATGCTTTACAAAAAAAACCCTAATCTAGACTCACCAGACATGTGGACTCTAAGCCAGAGGGGGCGGTGTAAATCCCTCTCATTCGGGATATGGTTTGATTGTAGTTGATGAACCTCTCAGCATGGATCTGGACATCTGGGGAATAGGGAATCAAATTTTCTTCCCTGAAAGACATTTGAGAGATATCAAAACCCAACCAAACACAGCATAATGGCTAAATCCCTAAGCAGCCTGCTATCTGGAACTCAAGTCTGGTGATACAACATTAGAATCTTTATACAGATAATTTAGTCATTCACCCATGGTGCTTGGTAAAGACTATTAGGAAGAGGGAGACAAACTGGTAGCCCAAGACATGCTGTAATTAGGGTAGTGTCCACCCCCTTCTAAAGTCTATGACACCAACCAACCAGGTTCAAGGCCATAGGAATAAATCAGTTAAAGTATCACTCTAAAAAAATAGATAATTACGTAGAATACTAGTCACTAGTATGATGCTAACAGGTGCTTTTTGATAGCCTTCTGGACTACTGTGTTCCAGACTAATTTATTCACACCTGGACTGGCAATAAAGCAGTCCAATTGCCAATAAAGACAACAGCCTCTCTAAATTTAGAGTAAGAATAACTCTGAATCTGGCCACAGAGAACTGATAAATTAATGTACTCCAGACTAAAGCATTAAAACACTCAACCTCCCCCTTCTGGCAGGTGCCTGGGAACGGGGATTACTGCCATGGCATTTTGCTTACCTGCTTTGTTCTGTAGGGATCTCTGGGCGTCGAGGATCCAGCAGAGCCTTTGGAAGGGAGAGAACTGAGCCAGAGGGAAGCCCAACTGCACATTAAAAAAAACCAAAGAACTCTCTCTTAGCAGTGACCATTTATGTCTGCTCTCTGATGGCTAATCCAATCGTCCTCCTGATGCATGCCAGAGAGAGCTTGCCGAGTCCACTACTCGGTGATGAGGGAGGGGGTGTGGAAGCAAGCAGAGGGCTAGGCTGAATACTGCTGTTGCTCTAAAGGCAGCTCATGAGGGAAAGGCGAAGGCACAGCCCACGCAGACAGCAGCAATGTCTGAATGCACACAGAAGAGTAGCATGCACCAGGGTTTAAGTCAAAGGAAGAAGGGCTGTAGCTGCAGTATTTCTTCAAATCATAGGCTAGCTTTAAAAATATACTTTCCTCTAACGCAGCCCCTGGGACCGTCATGGCCGATGATTGCCCTAGATACTGTAGTGACCTTATCTTGAATACAAAATTTGACACACATGTAATCCAATCCCTCCACCCTGCCCTAACCCAATTCTTACTGAGCAAGTGACGGCTGGTGATGCCACGTTCAGTGATAGTGGCCTCCATGGCACTGATGGCAGATGGAAAGATATAAGACTGCTGGAGGACCTGAGGCAACAGCGGGCGGTCAAGAGAACTGAAGGCTGTGGCATTATACTGCTCCGTCCCTTCGTACAGCTCCAGCACAGTGAACTCATTCCGGCGCGCCTTAGTATTCCAGTACTGGTACTGAGACAAGAGGGGAAGACACTGTTCAGGAGGGCAGAGCGGAATGCTCCAGCACAAGTCAATTCACACAGAGGGTGGCTGGACAGTCATTGGCGGGGAGTCGGGGAGCATTCCCTGGGCAGCATAGGTA